ACGTGCAGCTCTGCTTCCTGACGACACCCCGGCCAGTAGAACCTCTGGCGCAGCCGCTTCACCGTCTTTGCATTCCCAAAATGTCCCGCTCCCGCTGCTCCATGGACCCAGCGCAGTGCTGCTCCATGGACCCAACGCAGAACTAGCAGCTGCAGTCGGTCAGCCCCTTGGCCCAGGGCTCGCCACCGCCGGTAAAGAACGCCGTCGTGAAGCTCCCGTTTTCCCCTCCGGCCCCTCAACAGACACGCCGCCCCGCTCTGGCCATGCCTGTGCCTCGATCCAGCCCCCTCGCTACGTGGACCTGCTGCAGCACGGGGTCAGTCTGCTGCTGCTGCTCCAGCTGCTCTCTGGTGAACGGTTCCTGTGGCTGGTCGCTGCCATCCAGCCCTGCCGCCGCTGCTGACGGTACCTGCTCTCACATGTAAACAGTGTTCAGCATCCTCACAGCCTGGTGGATGAAGCTGTTTGTAAGTCTGGTGGAGTGGGCCTGAAAACTCTGATACCTTCTCCCTGAAGGCAGGAGTCTGAAGTGGGAGTGTGCGGGGTGGGAGGTGTCATCAACAATGCTGATGGCTCTGCAGGTGAGGCAGGTGTTGAAGATGTCCCTAAGGGAAGGCAGAGGGGTGCCGATGATCTTGCTGGCTGTTTTCACTATGCGTTGCAGGGTCCTTCTGCAGGAGACAGTACAGGCTCCGTACCACACAGTGATGCAGCCAGTGATGACGCTCTCAATGATGCCCCGGTAGAAGGAGCACATGATGGGGGGTGGGGCACTGGGTCTCCTCGGAGGAGTATTGCGGAGGAAGTAGAGGCGTGTTTGAGCTTTCTTGGCCAGTGATGTGGTGTTGTTGGTCCAGGAGAGGTCCTCAGAGATGTGCACCCCCAGGAACTTGGTGCTGCTCACTCTCTCCACTATAGCACTGTCGATGGTCAGTGGTGGATGCTTTAGAGGTTTTCTCCTGAAGTCCACAATGATCTCTTTAGTCTTCCCCACACTAAGGAAGAGGTTGTTGTCCTTACACCACTGGACCAGTTGGCACATCTCACTCCTGTAGTTGGCCTCATCATTGTTGGTAATGAAGCTGACTACAGTCGTGTCATCTGCAAACTTGACAATGTAGTTGGTGCTGTAGATTGGAACACAGTCACGGGTCAGCAGTGTGAAGAGCAATGGGCTGAGCACACACCCCTGTGGAGCCCCTGTGCTCAGGCTGATGGTCTTGAAGATGTTGCCACCGACCTGCACATTTTGTGGCCTCTCTGTTAGAAAGTCCAGCACCCAGTTGCAGAGAGACGTTTTGAGTCCCAAGTGTCCAAGTTTTTGTGTAAGCTGCTGGGGAATTATTGTGTTGAATGCTGAACTGAAGTCTAGGAACAGCATTCGCACTTAACAGTTCTTTGAATCTAGGTGGGTGAGGGCTGGATGGAGAACAGCACTAATGGTATCCTCTGTGACCTGTATGCTAACTGAAGTGGGTCGTGAGAGGGAGGAAGGATGGACCTGACGTTCTGCACGACCAGCCGCTCGAAGCACTTCATAATAATTGAAGTCAGTGCTACAGGCTGATAGTCATTGTAACAGGTTGGGTATTGTAAACCTGTGGTTACTTAAGGGCTAATTTGTGATGGCCTTTTGGCGCCATTGTATGAGACACAGGAAGTTGATTTTCTCTTTGTTTTTGTTTTTTTATTCTGTGACTAAACGAGTGGACGGCAGAGCAACACGGTATTTTACCGTGAGTTGTCGCACCAGCTCAACGCGTAAATATTAAGTCTCATGTCCGTTCATAGTTATTATAAGAAATGTAAAAACGAAAGACATTTAAATACAAACTACAAATAACCATTACAGGTACCATACTCAGATCTGGAATGAAAATACTGTACTGAAGGTAAATGCAAGAAAAAGGTAAAATGTAGGTTCAGTGGATTATTGTAAGACATTTTATAATGTTGCTGATCAAAATACTTCTATTTGTAAATATATAAATTATCCACTTATAACCCATACATGGAAATAGTTAAGTGTGAACTGATTGAACTCACAATTTCTCATCTGCATTTCACACTAGATCTTTCTGTTGATTCTTCTTGGTGGTGTGATATGCCTGCCAAAGGGTAACTTAAGAACATGTAATATTCTGTTCTTTCCACTCACTGCCTCTAATCAATACAACATTCTCAAAGTCCATTTCATCTCTGCTAAACAGGGTTAAAGTCCCTCTCTGCAGTAACTGATTAACTGATTGGTTCGTGTGAGTTTACACAGTGTCTCATGTCTGATCACAGCTGCACAGGACTTAGCTCCAGCTTGCCGAAAAAGGTGAGAGCAGCTGACACCTTTCAGAATTCAACAACAAGTGTATTTGCTATTCAAAAACAACGAGACCTGACAGTGGGTCACTGACATGTAGGGAGACAGATGCTGTACTGTGAACTGATTTACTTCCTCAGCATAGTTCACGTTTTACTCAGTGCTGAAGTGAAGAAACATATACGCATTCAATTTGTCTCACTCTTCCATTTAGCAGCCTAACACTTTAATGCTGCTGGATGCTTCAAGTGTTATTCTGAATGTCCACCAGTGTTAAAGTGCTACTAGCAAGAGACTAGGTTTTGTAACGAGAGAAAGTAAACGAGTCACTATTTTTTTGGCAAACCTAAAAAAAAATCACTTAATCACCAAACATGTATGCATGCCTAAAAATTTTTTTGAAAAAAATGGAAATAATGCAGGTTCCAGAACATGACAAACATAACAGTAGTTTTACTTCTGTCATGTCGGCTAGTTCCTTTTTAGCCAGTAGTGTGACCTGAATGTTTATGTAGCACCATCCAGATTTCAGCTTGTCTAACACGTTGGCTTATGAGCAGACATGACATTTCTGATTCATTGTGTCCCTCTCTACAAAGTGCTCAGTAATGGTCCAACGTGTAGCAGTGGTTGGGGCAGGCAGTTCTGGTCTGGTCTGTATCAAGATCTGTGTCGATGAGGGTCTGGATCCTGTCTGCTTTGAAAGCAGTGATGATATTGGTGGCCTGTGGAGATTTAAGGTTAGTGAGGGCACATGTTGATCTAGTCACTAAGTCTTTATGATACTGTATATGAATAGACTAACTCTCTGGATAAAACAAAGTCCTTATGAGAGTGGTGTGCTTATCAGCACCATGTCTTGTCTCCTTTTGTGTTTACAGGAGTCACCGGAGCCAGAGCGATCCAGCATCTATCGCTCCTTGGTGGTCAACACCTCCAAAGAGATGATGTGTTTCAGTGACTTCCCCATGCCTGCTAACTATCCAAACTACATGCACAACTCTCAGCTCCTGCAGTACCTCAGGCTTTATGCAAATCACTTTGACCTGCTCAGATTCATTAACTTCCAGGTTATTTCTGTTTCATCAGTGTTGCAGTAGTTTCACAAGTTTCTATAACATATTATGTAAAGTATGAGTTCTTTAATGTGTGTGTTATGCTCTGGACATGCATGCTTCAGACCACAGTGAGGAGTGTTGTCCAAAGACCAGATTTCTCTCTGTCTGGTCAGTGGGACTTGGTGACTGTAAACAGGGATGGAGAGGAAGAGAGACATGTGTTTGATGCAGTTCTGGTGTGTTCAGGCCAATACAACCATCCGGTCTTACCCCTATCGGACTTTCCAGGTTGCTGGACAAATAGATATCGCTTTTGAAACATTTTACATAATACAATGGATGACTGCAGTGTTTATTTTACATCGGCACATTCTGATATTTTTCTTTGAACTGATGCACCATTTGTGTCTCTCCAGGCTATGAGACGTTTTCTGGCAAGTTTTACCACAGCTGGGAATATAAAGATGGAGATGCCTGCAGAGGAAAGAGAGTAGTGGTGGTTGGCATTGGCAATTCTGCAGGAGATATTGCTGTGGAGATTAGTAGATCTGCAGAGAAGGTACTGTAAGACAAAAAAAGGGTATAAAAACTTTGTCCCTAGTGGCATTTGGCAACAGTAACCAGTAGACTTCAGTGATGTGACATGAGTTTTATATTTTACTGCTAGTGTTGAATGTTAAAATAGTGTCAAACAAATTATTTTGAATATATTTGTCATCACAGCATTGTTAATCAAACAAACAGAGTGCTGATGTAAAATATCACACTCACTTTTTAATGTCTTATTTATTTAATACATTGCTAAGAATGCTAAATTGATAGAATATACAGTACCCATGTATATCTTCTTATCCTTCCTGTCAGACCTTCCTCAGCACACGTGATGGGGCCTGGGTGATGGGCAGGATGTCCAGTAATGGTCTTCCTCTGGACATGCTGGGTATGACCAGGTTCAATGAGCTCCTCATGCAGCTCTATCCCAAGACTCTGATCAACTGGGCAGGCGAGACGGCACTGAACCAGAAATATGACCACAGACTGTATGGCCTAAAGCCCAGATACAGGTGATACATTTTGACCTTATCTTCTCTGCCTCATGATGCCAGGCTGCTGGAGTTTATAGTGAGTTTCTTTTTGGCTTTCCATTAGAAATCTTCAAATATCTAGCTATTTCAGTGTTGTTTCAATTATTCTTCTATATTATTTGTGCAGTGGTAGCATAGCTGTATGTAGATGATTAGTCTCACATTGGGTGGCAGTGACTCAGTAGTTAACACTGTCGACTTGCATATGTTTCACTACGCTACCTGTAGGTTCTGTGAAGTGTGTATGTTGTATCTTATGGATGGATATTCCATATACATTTGCCCAGAGCTTCTCCACCAAAAAGCTGGTTACTCCTGAAATTGCCTTTTACCAAAGCACTGGCCTGTGAACTAGTGCTAAATTGCAACTGTACACCTCTGGATCAAATGTTAGGCACAAGTTTCCCCAATGGATCTAAATGTTCTTAAATTATTTTAAAAAAGAGATGCATTTAGTATGCTTGTTGATGCATCATATAAATGTATTTTACTGTTTTAACAAGACCAGGAAACCTGATAGGTAGGTATGATGCTTACCTTAATATTAGAGTGTTTGCTAAATGAGACAGAACACAAAGCACTAGCATGATCAGTAGAATTCAGTCTCTGGGAACTTTCATACTTAAACTCATGCCAATTCATCCAGTAGTTTCTGAGGTATTTCAATTTGGTCTAAAGTGACCAACAACTGCAATCTATAGCCAATCTACTGTCAGCTGTTGGTGGGACTGCCCTGTGGATTATATTTAATAGATTATTTCCTCTGAACACTTTTGTTGTTGTTGGTGCATCCATAAGCACACAACACCAGACAATGTAGGAAGAATTAAATCAACCTTAGAATCATTATAAATAGGGTTATTCATGCACTTACACCTTAAAATGATTTCTAAAAACAAGTTGTTGTTTTTTTCTTTTGCCACTAGCCCCAGTCATTCTAGAAACCGCAGGTCACATTGGTTAAACTTGGTCTTGAATATAAATACTATATTTCCTGCTGGTGAATGCATATTGGGGAAAGACTCTGTCTTTAAAGTCTATACACAAGCACACAAACTGAATTCTTGCCTCTTACTCCCATATCTTTAACAACAATTTTAATTGCTATACTCAACCAGCAAAGCAAACATTTCATCAGTGTTACTTATGTTGCAAAGGGACATAGATTCTTCTTGAGTCTCTGTGCAGTTTTAAACAATGCCTTCTGTCACCACCAACACACTGTCAGCTGTGCAGACAGTTAACCAGTACAAAGTAGTCTTTCGTGTGACATGTTTGTAGCAAGATAATGACTGAGATTATTTACAATTTCCTCCTTTTCCCAGATTGTTGGATGGAAGGCCTTTGATCAATGATGATCTGCCCAGTCGAATACTTCAGGGGGCAATAGTCATGAAGCCCAATCTGAAAGGGTTCAAGGACTCTGGGGTTGTATTCAAAGATGGCACAGTGGAGGAGAACATTGACACTGTGGTTTTCTGCACAGGTTATAATGAACACTTTCCATTCCTGCCCTCAGCTCTGTCTGAGGGGCCATATGGAGAGCTGACACTATACAAGTAAGTACTGGGTGAAAAGAGAGCTGTATGGGGCTGTCATCTTCTATTATGTAAAGAAGAAAAACTGAAACTCCATATTACACAATTAGAAACCAATTTAACGACTGACTCAAGTTGTTGACGCCACAGAGTCAGCTCCATCTGCTTTACCATGGATAGCTCATATGCAAAATGCAATAATTAACACTTCCATTTAAATGATCTCCTAAAATATCTTGATGAATAAATTTTGTAAACTATTCTGTGTTTTTATACAAATGTACATTAATTTGTGGACATGTTTAGATAGTATAATGTAAAATTTTTAGCTAAATCAAAATGAAATGCAACTGCTTTAAAACATTACACCACTAGACCTTACTTTGTAAAGTGTCCTGAGATGACTTTTGTTGTGATTTGGCACAATACAAATAAAATTGAATTTAATAGCTGTTATCAGTTGTTATTGGGACCATGTTTAGTAGGGCTCTATACCACCTCCTAGTTGTCTCAACAGGTTGTCATGGACAGTCCTTTTGTGATAAACAGTTTAGGCACAAAAACCATATGGTCATGTTAAGCAAGGAAATGTAGGTTAAGTTGGATAGGTTTAGACTATGATCATGATTTCAGTTAAAATAACTTGATGAACCAACACTGACTGTCAGTTTGAATCAGGAAATGTACAAGTCTCCAGTTTCAAAGTTGTGTTTTGTGGCAGTTCACCTACTGAGTCATAATTATGGCCATGAATGACAACTGATAACAGCCATTTAGGTGGTGATAACATACAAGTTTGTTGATTAAATGTAAAATAACCAAAAATGATTTGTTATTGCAGTATATTACAATCATTAGTCTGACATGTTACATTGTTTATTACCTGTCTTTGTTTCATTCACCCAAGAATGGTGATCTGTTATTGTACAATATTATTATAACTTGACAGGATCAATTAACTTTTTATTATTATTATTATTTAGAAGACTGTTTCCTCCTGCTCTACAACACCACACACTGGCTATCATGGGTCTTTTTCGAGCAAAAGGACCAATCATGCCCATAGTGGAAATGCAGGCACGATGGGCTGTTAAGGTTTTTTCAGGTAAACATTTAATACGCAAAGTCACACACGCAAACACATACACACTGAATTAATGAGCACAATGTTTTACTGTCCAGGTTCGAGCCTTCTTCCATCAAAGGAGAAAATGTTGGCTGTCATTGAGTCTGACAGGAGGAGAAACATGGAAAGGTAGACTAATATTCCTTAGATGGCCAAGGCAGATCATTCAGGCTTTTCCTATGGAAAGTCAGATGTCAACTCAGTACTGTTCAGGAAATTTGAGTGGATTCACTCCTTTGCTTTTTGTTCTCAGCTTTCCCTGCCCACGACAAGCTGCTCTCGCGGTAGCTTACATCCCATACATGGATTTCATGGCTAAGGAGGTCAGTTCAGTTCTGCTTTATATAAACAGTGTTACACACATGAATGTAAAAAAAAGTCTTCCAATCACAGGTAGGAGTTCGTCCACACTTCCTGACTCTACTTCTGAGAGATCCTATACTCTGGGTGAAGGTCTTCTTTGGTCCCTGCACTCCATATCAATTTCGTCTCACCGGGCCTGGCCAGTGGGCTGGAGCCCGACATGCTATTCTCACCCAGTGGGAGCGGGTTGCTCAGCCCTTCAGAACCAGAGTGATACCAGAATCAGAGTCCAGGCCATCTGTCCCTTGCTCTCCTTGGCTACTCATGTTTGGAGCAACTGTGGTGATTGCTATGTTTCTGTCTAAAAATGAGATCAGGGTGTAGCTCACATTGTGGGCAGGAGCATTTTCTGAGGGACACCTGGTTCACTGGTTAACAAATCATGTATATGTGATAATGCTGAGTTATAAAACTTTAAATGTCACTTGAATAGATCAAAACAATCTGCACAGTATTGCTTTTTTGTTTTACAGTTGGTAACATACATTTCCCAGTAGTGAGGTCACTTTGTTAAACCTGTTCATGCAGTCAGCACAATAGAAGTCATTGTGGATTTGTTTTGTTACAAATTTTCATCTTAACCACCACCAAAACTCCATGTATTAAAGTCTATTTGGCAGTTTTACATACAGCTGTAATCTGTGGTGGTAAGCACTACTAAGTTTGCAGCTCAGCATTTGAGAGTGAACATGCAGATTTGTAAATAGAATCAGATTTGAGAGTAAAAGCCATGCATGGGCAGGATTATGCTCTCTAATCTGATTCTGCGCTTGCACATCCTCAAATGCTGAGCTGCAAACTTAGTAGTGCTCATCATGTGGCTGCAGCTGCAGGGCACTGATGATGGATCATGGGTAATGAGAGTGTGAGATGTGGCATACAAGTTATCAGGGCTTATTCGACCTCCCTTAAGTTGGTGAATCATCTGCTCTTGTGCTGAGGGAGTAGGGAAGCATCAGAAAAAAGTATTTAATTTGTTGATGGTAGAGTTGCCTCAGATCTATCAGCTAGTGGAAATCAGTTTCCGCAAGTGGAGTCAGTGTCGGATGGAGCACCAGAGTAACACACCAGTGAGTCACTGCAATGAGGGTGTCACATCTCTCAGGGTGGCCAGTAAAGCTACCAACAATATTAATGGCAAACTCTATTATAATGCCAGATGAGAATGAGTGGCTAGTTCCCTCTAAACAACTCACAGGAGGAACAGAATACAGTAGTCCACATATACACCCCAAGTCTAATAGTCCAAGTTCAATGCCGGCAAAAACTAACAGCCAAGGAATCCAAAAAGCAAGGCAGAAATCGTTGGTCAGGACTATCTGGGGTCAGAATCAGGAATCACAGGTATCACGAGTAAATGCCAGAAAGTCTGCACGTAACTCAAGAACAATCTGGCAGCTTTCAGGTGGGGGGGAGCTGCTATAAAAGGAGTGATAATTAGTGTAAAGAGTCCATATGCGGGGTGAGAGGAAACGATAAAATAAAAGCATGATGCCAGAAGCCAACAGGACAGAACCATGGCAACATCCTTTGTTGTATCCTTTTGCTTTTCAACAACGTTTGCCCCAACTTTTTTAAAATTAGGACCACTTCATAGATTTAATCTACACGTGCAATCCCACACATCAGATTCTGACCGACACACAGATGAGTTTGAGGAGGTATTGCTATGGAGCCGAGAGATGAGGCAGGGTGCATAATAAATCTGTTACAGTCGCTCTCTAGCCGGGTGGTGAGAGAGGAAGAAAAGCTGGACCCAGAAATGCAGAATACCGATCTAGATTATTCAACAGTGACTTTATTACATATAAGTGACAAATGGAGAAAATAAAGACGAGGCTGCTAGAAGTGATTGCTGGGAGGAGCGGCAGAGACCTGGCCCCAGTGAGATGGTTCTTGGAATAGAGGAGCTGCTGTCAGAGGATGTGGAGATATCAGGCTGACGGCAGAGTCTGA